CCCCAAAACCCCAAAACCCCAAAACCCCATGAGACAAATTATTATGAAGAAATTAAATCGGTTTAAAACAATTCGATCTTAAAAATCACAACCTGAAATTTACTCTCTCTATTAAACGATCAAATTTCTTTCTATAGAAGAAATGTCCCAAGTGCATTTCATTATTCTCTTTATCCCAATATGTCAGGTCAATCACATAGTCTGTTAAATCATAATTCTCAAATCTATAGAGATGTTCATCTTCTATTGCCTTTAAAGAAACTCTTTCTTCGTTGCCTTATAGCATATTCCTAATTTCATGAGACCATAGATTTCTGTTATGCTAAACTAGGGTATTTACAGTGCCAATCAAACTCTTAGGAGTAAATATATAGGTAGCCCAGAGTAGAACCAAATCCTTGCTATTATGGATATTTTTAACTGTTCCACTCACAGTTTTTGCTATGATCATATCCATCGATTCACTTTGATCTGTTTTCCTTACATGACTTATATTAGTGGCACCCGCAATAAAAGTAACATTGTGAATGATATCATGCAGATTTAATCTATGAAGTGTTTTAATACACTACTTAGTCAATTGAGAACCCAATGAGAAGCAAACAATTGAAATAGTATTGAGTTTAAATGGATATCTCAAAGCTAAAGTGTAAGCTAGCAATCTTCCTTAAATTTTAGCTACTTTTTTAGTCTTGAGATAGTAAATCCTACTCATAATCGTTGTATGAATAAGCATCAATAGAATAAGAACAAGCACACCTATTAAATCAAAAGTAAATAGAAGATAGAGTAATGAAATGGCCAAATAAGTATAAATTGTATCTCTAAATGATTTTACATATTTAGACTTCTCCCTTGATTTCCATTTTAAGGTAAATGCAGATACCCCAAACTATTCAGCCATTTAACTAAAGTATCTCCACTCTCTCTTGTCATTTTCCTCCTCAGATATCATTCCTGATATACATATCAAAATATGCTTTGAATCTTGGTCAATCATTCTATTTAATCTAAGATATTCAAATCTAGGAAAGTCACTTCCACATTACTTATAGCAATCATTAATCCCATCTAGTATTGTTTGATATCTAGTTTTATCTAGCCCTACATTAATTCCTTTAAGGTTTTCATCAACAGTATATTAGATATCTTAATGATTGGTCTGGAATTGCCACAAATAATCTTTCATATAAAGTCTCTCATTAATCTAGGGTTATATTACGTCATGCTACAGATTTGTTTCAGAATTTACATTTATATTGCTTTATTATTTAGTCTAAACTTTGTCAATGATATGTTAGTAACAACTGTTTTCAAACTGTATTAAAGTTTTAAGAGCAGTATTCTCGTCGAATAATAGTTTTAATAGGTTTAAGTATAATTCTCTGTTAATGGCATCTAGGTAATAATTAACTAGTTTCTCAGATTATTTATCCTATATAATATTCAGTCCATAAATGTAAATTAGTAGCAAATAATCAAGAAATTCCATTGAATTTAACTAGATATCTATTGAATCCTTTATCTCCTAAATCATTATAGACTTGTTCTTCATCAAAGATACATGATTTGAAGGCTCCATCATTTTCTCTATTTCTGCTCTTAATGTTGCTCTTCCTTATTAATTAGGAATGAGCTCTATAATATTTTCAATAGTTCTATTAAGAATTTAAAACTTGTCCTTAGTTATTGGTAAGTTGCTGAGTAAAAACAATTTAGCTAGAGTAGGGATTAATACTGCTAGAACTTGCTAGTCTTCTTCCTCCTTAATATTAGCTTAAGTATTCTAAATAAGCTCAGATATATATTCTTTTGTTATTTTATTCATTATTTAATAATGATAATAATATTTTTTATACGGTAATTATATGACGTGTGGGGTTTTGGGGTTTTGGGGTTTTGGGG